TATTATATACGTAATCGTATTGTTTAATCTACATTATAAATTTGAACTGATTTGGACTGATATTTATAATATTTATAATATTTGCTTTATATATATCCCCCACAAAACTGTCAATATTTCTGAGAAATTTATTTAAAAAAATACTCATTTAATAAAATTATTTGCCACGTATGAGAAAATACCTATAATATCCAAATGAATATATAATATTCCCGATAAAATATATCATGCAATAAATTTTCATTGCATTAATAACGCAATGAAAGTGCGACAGTCAGTAGAATATAATTCAGAGATAAATAAATCAAATAGATTCCCCTTTTTTCATTTTATCCAAAATAAACAGAGATATAAATATGTTAAAATATCTAATAAAGAAATAAAAATGTATTATTTTTTAGTTGCTTTTGAGTGTCATACATCGAGCTATATAGCCGATCTCATTAATTTGGCCGTATAGTCCCTCTGTTTGGCAGCTAAATGCAAATCCAAACTTTTCAACATTCTTGTTCGAATTTCTTGCGCATTGATCGAGCTGGACTCTTGCAAATCGTCCGCTAAATTGTCGTTTCTCGAATGAAGCGTTTCGTCTCGCAATATAGGCAAATCGTAGTGACCGACTTCTGCGGACGAGAATCTATCTCGTGTCTCTCGCGCTACCGTCTTCATGAATTCGAGGGTCATCCTGCGACAAGTATCGAAACCCAGTAATTGTATTCTCTTACTGCGGATCGTGTCCATACGACGACTCCTCCAGAGTGCTTCTCTGTCTACTATCTTAGCAACCGAATTGGATGTCCCAGGTAGATCTTGGAATACTTTGGCAAGAATTTCCTTTGTTAAATCTTCTTCATTTCCTGATACGTCTGTAAATTAATTAAGATGTATCAGGGACAAATTTAGCCTAGATTCAACTCTTGAATGAAAAGATAGATTCAACATTAGGCCTGAAGAGAAAAAAATACTTTTTTTCATATAAAATTTAATTATTCATATTTTGGATTTCAGAGACATCTGAAATAAAATGTTAGGATTAACAATAAAAGATATAAATATGTTAAAATATTTAATAAAGAAATAAAAATGTATTATTTTTTAGTTGCTTTCTGTCCTTTTTTACTTATTCATTCGTCAACAAAATACATTTAATGTTTTTAATACTAACTTATATTTAGTTTGTAAAATATATGCTACCAACTCGGATGCTAAATCAAGTAACATTCTGCTCAAGACATATAAGATGGAATTGGCGTCGCATCGCATTGAGAATCATGCGTAAATTTGACAAGATTGCCAGGATATCTCGCGAAGACAGTTTTCATCTAACCGCATAGAAACTTGACAGCACATATGATTTTTATTTCACCACGCCTGGTATTTTACTTCATACCGAATGTTTTTAAGTACGCACATTACACGACGTGACATAATCGGTAATGAATAAATAAATTTTTTTACAGAAATGCCATTTTATTGTGATAAAATTAATTGCATCATTCTGATGAGATGTTTCGAAACTCATTACGACGTGTCGGGCCAAAAGAATAAAGTTTCGAAACTTGGCGAGAGGTCTAAGCGATTCTTTTTTTCCTTGGGAACATTGCAGAAGTTTCCTGCTGGTGACAAGTACAAGTTACGCAATACCCAAAGAGAAGTAAAGTGCGCGAAACAAGTTTTACATTACCCAGATTACCACTGCTATGATCGATTTCTGTGATGTATGTGCCTTCCTCGATTTCTCGTTGTAATTCTAGGACTCTGGCTAAAGCCAACTGGAGATATTCCCTTGTATTTGGATTCTGTGGAAATATGAAACACACAGAGCGGATTTGATGAACGTTAGAAATTGTATCGATCTTAGCCACATTAAAATTTTACATCGATGTACTTTTGCTTTCGAAACATTATCTTTGCTCATACTATAATCGAAATCTTTCTTTAAGCACAACTTTTCTATCTTTAAAACAAATGTATATGCACATTTGTACATTTTCTCTTGTCCACGTATCTTAGCCACATTAAAATTTTACATCGATGTACTTTTGCTTTCGAAATATTATCTTTGCTCATACTATAATCGAAACCTTTCTTTAGGCACAACTTTTCTATCTTTAAAACAGATGCATATGCACATTTGTACATTTCCTCTTGTCCACTTATATATTTTTGATAATTTAAAATACAAAAATATATTTTTTTATTACATACGTTCAATATAAAATTACGGAAAAAAATACATATATATGCGCGTATCTGTTTGTTCATTGTTTTTATTTTGTACGTAATTGTATACCCGCGTACGCCGTTGCAATCAAGCCGCTTTGTTGCGGCTAAACTGATCACAACGAACCAAATATCAGAAAATAAATAATCAAATACGATTGCATCGCGACTTCTATAGAACAATTATTAACAAATGGAAACATTTTTAGATTTTAATAAATTTTTTTATAAGTTAAGTAAAAAATAGCGATCTTTCAAATTTTTCAAATTTTGTAAAATTCCGGGTTTGGAGATGTAATATATATATATATATATATATAAACGTAAAAAAAATTGATATGGAAAAAGCAATACAGTTTTCGTTCTATCAATCACAAAAACACAAATATGGTTTCGTGATTCAGCAGCGAGATACGAATCATATTAGCTTTCGGTATATCGTTATATATCTACACGAGAAACTTGAAAACAAATACAATTTTTGTTTTATGGGTTTTGAAATTAAAATATTTAGTTACATGACTCTACTGCCAAGTATAGTTAACTGCAATAATTACAGACAGAAAGTGTAATTACAAGCAATGTTGAACTTTGTCGAACATTTCAGTAAACGTTGTCAGGTAGTTGTTCCGCATGCTTCTCTTATTTGTACAGTAACTTTTACCATCCGCATATATTAACATTCTTAATTAAGTGGCTCTGTATATTGCAATTACTCGCTATTCATGTTATTTCGGTTGGCCTTAATATTAAGATGAGATAGTTTAGGGGAGTTTAACTTACTGCGCGCTGCTCAGCTGCCTTTGTTCTTTTAGCGTCGTTACCTACGTCTTCCAAACAAGGTGCCTATTGGACACGTATCAAAATGTTTTCTGATTACATTCTAGATATACATAATACATAATATATTTTTGTTTGTCATCGTATTAAAAGCGTTCATATGATAATATAGCTTATATATATTTTATAATTTTGCAAAACTATCGTCTATTTTTACCACGTTTCGTGTCTTACCGATGAGTATCTCTTCATTATGTCCCGACTTAATTCTCATCTACCTGTAATCCAATAATATTTATTGGTTAACAAACGATACAATTCGAGAATTTAGCGTTCTTTATTTATTTTAGGTATTGCATTTATGAAAATAACTGTAACAAATAAATTTTTGACAAAAAACATGCAGTATTATTTTAATGAAATTCCTTCGTTTCCTTCGCACTATATAGAAATTTGCAATCTATAATGTATCTTGTTTGTAACTTTCTGTAACATTATATTTCTTGTCTGATGGTATTATATATCTGCACGCTGTATTACAATGCATTGCATCGTTTGGGATAATACCGACTCTGCTTTCCGCATAATAGCCACTGATATGTTCCACCGCAATCGTTGCTGAGCATTGATGTTCAATTAAATTAATTGGTTTCGTTAATACATCAATATGTTCAACTTTCCGACATTTTGACTTCAATATTCTTCGCATTCTCACTTACGTACTGAGTATTAAAAAAATTAATCGCTCTAAAGATTACATTTTATTTTTATCATTTGATAATTCTTTTCGCTGTTAAAAATATGACTAATGACTCCCTTTCTCTTGATCCAGTATTTGTCGCCAAGTGTTCATATAATATAGTAATAATAACCCTGATAATTTTAGCGCAAACACGAACCAACTGGATGTGTTACAAAGCTGACACACTTGTGAAACGTATAACGATACTGTTCTATTACTTACACAACTTTGTCCTTGTGTAGAAACGAGTGCTTGAAGTTCCCTTAACCTCAGGTCGTTTATCTGTTATATCAGCTTCGTTATCAAGCGCTAGCGTTTTGAAATATTTCTCTCTCGTGAGGGCACACTAATGGTCCTTTTATCGTTCAGCTTCTTCTTCTTTACTAAACCGTTTTTTTATAAAACGCGCCTTTACCCTCCTGTCTTTATCTCGAGAAATTCCGCATCCTCGTTATACTCACTGTATCGTATTCACACACGGGCAACTGTCAATGAAAACGACCGTTGACTAACGTCGACGGCCGTGTACTACCAACCCCCTCACTTTCACGATCGTTGTAGAAGAGGTGGGGGGTGCATGCGAGGGTGCCGATCCACCACCGGTTCCCTTCGACCCGTCGTTCAACCGTCATGTTAAGGTCTGAAAAAGCGGCAGATGCAAGTTTCTTTCTTTCTTTCCCCTCGGCGATCCCTTGTGACGTGCCCCTGCGCGTGCCCTACTGTTGAAGGGAAAGGGACGAGTGGCACGCGCGAGCGAGCCAGTTGCACGCGCGCCATACAATCTTGTTGATTATTTCTATTTAGTTTAAAAATAATGTCCGAGTGACCCACGCGATTTTTTCTTTTTTTTTAATGTTCTGGAAATAAAATTTATTTGCACGAAAAAAACGACGATATTTTTTATCTTAAATTATATACAACGAGTCATCTTTATTAGTAAAATTCTCAATATTACGAAACATGTGAAGAACGCACAAAATATCTCAAGACTGAAACTCAGTCTTTATGAGTGTAGTTTTAAACGACGTACGTATAGGATGTCCCGAAACCAGTGGTATTTGGATGGATAAATTGCTTAAATCACTTGAAGCTGACCATTTCGTATTTCTGGATATAAATTTAAATTTTACGAAAGATTGAATCAATGAGAGAGATTTTGGAACATCCCAAATAACTATGACGCAAAACAACAAAGGTGTATACAATAGAAATAATGACAAATTGTTTATTTGAATTAATATCTACGTACTTATACGCTAGCGAGTAGTCTAGACCGTAAATCTATATAAACAGAACTAAAGGAATAATATTACAATAAAAAGCTCATTAAATGATATATCCATAATATATCAATAATATATATCAATAATATCGAGCATAGCATTGTGATTTCGATATATTATTTCACGAACTTTCGACCGATAAAAGCAGAATTCAATGTACTTTATTGAGCATAATTAGAAAGAATGAGTATAATTGATATACGTTTATATAAAAAAAAACCATAAGATAATGCCAGACTTATAATTAGTTAAAATATCAGAACACGAAATAAATTTTGCTTTATGTCTGTTTCGTGTTTTTCTTCTTTTCACGTGATACCTGTAGTACTATTTACAATTTAATTTGCTGAGAGCAAGAGAGATGAAGAGAGAAAAAGAAAATCTCCCCAAGAGAGACAATAAAAGATTCATGGAATAGAATAGTGTCAGATCGTATCTCGTTGTACTTCCAGTTGTTTAGTCTTACTCTCTTTTCCATTAACAACTATTTCTTTGTTGATTAGTGAATATTAGTGAACAAATTCGGTTTTCGTTGTTTGTACAATTTCAACGAATGTATAAAGGGATGAATGATCAGTTGTATTTTTGCAAGATCTATTCTTAAATCTATCCCCTTTAAACGCGAGGAACGCGATGGAAAGATAATGGCTGCTGACCAATAACTTCCTGACTAAATTGAACAAGAAATGCACATTACACGTATATGTAATACGAAATACTGCTTTATGTATACTACGTTTTATTGGTTGAAAGAATAAAGCTTCCGTATTCGAAATCTATTCTCACAATTATTTAAAAATAAGAATTTTTAAAAAAGTAGAGAGTGAATACTGTTTATTTAAATTAAATCAAAGCAGAAAGAGAGAGAGAGAGAGAAAGAGATCTTCTTTTATAAAAAGAGGAAATTAATCACATTCTATTCTTTTCACTGCTTTATCCACTTGAATAATAAATCTATGGATAAAGATTCGATAGCATATAAACTACATCAGGATTCTATTGAAAAAATTCTCTTTAACGAAAGAAGTCACAGTTTGAGTTCGTAAATACCTACATACGAAAGAGATTACACGTGTAATGGGTCCATAAAGTGAAAAATGTCGTATGCATATAATTCTAAATAGTATTAATAAGTATTAATAGTAATAATACTTCAAGCAAAGGTTACAAGCGGACACTTATAAGTTTCGAAACTGTTGCATTAATCGCCTAATACCTGAATGAGAATTATCTCCGAGACCTGTCATCGTATTTCTTTCATAAAATTATAATTTGTGGTCTGCAGCTTTAAAATTATAGCATGCAATCATCTCAACGAAGCGAGATTCATCGGCTTCAGTCCATCATTATCGGCAATGACAGTTTATCGCGGTTGCATTCACGCCACAATTTGCGCATCAGCGTCCATGCCCAGTTTATAAACTTTTGAAATTACTCCGCAAGCAACCTCCGATCGCACGGGGTAGATTTAGCCTTTTCTATGCTGGCCATCTCGTATACCCCGGTCGATTCTTGGGTGTGTTTGCGGAAAGTGGAACCGAAACTGGTCTCATAAAATGTGCCCCGCATGCCGCGACTTCTTTGGGAGAAACCAACGTCACCGCGAGTTCTGCCTCTTTCTATGCGACTGCCATTGCAGGCACCCGGTAGACAGTAGCACAAATATCTGTTAAAGCTATGACAAACAAAGAAAAGAATTAGGGAACATATATTGTTTGCGACACAAGTGCTCGTAATAGTACGATTTGTCAAGTACAACAATGTTGAATATTACGTTTCGTTTTCGTGAAAATTTAGATTTTTATCGAGTGCACACGATTGTTAGTGTTATCTTAAATGTTTGATAATGATATAATTGTTACTCTATCTCTATTTTAGTGCTGATTACTAATCATCTTTCTTAATTCGTCTAGCATCGGCCAATAGTGAGTAAGAGGAGAAAACACACTAAATTCGTATAACGTTACTTAAGAATAGAGCAAGTTTATAATTTGATAATACTTTTATAAGTAAATTGTTATGGTAATATTTCATACATACAAATAACTGAGAAGAGTGTCAGCTTGTTGACAAGGAAAAAGTTCACAATTTTCTCTTGGAAACAGCCGCGAAGGCAATTTGCATATGCATTTGCATAGACAAGATTTTACGAAGTCGTAGAGGAAAATTGCTATTACGTATTCTTTTGCTAAACTTAATTTCAATAAGTTTAATTAATAAATTTACTTAAATATTCTTTATTCACATTGTAAGCGGGAAGTTTTACCATTTAGTAAGTTCTGTGTTGCGGAGTATTCTTACTGTGAACTTCTCCTCTCTTGACATTTTTGCTCGTCCAAGTCGAAACAATATATACATTAGTAATTATCGCGAGTTAATTACCGCGAGTTAATCTTCCAATTAATTTTGATGACTCGTTTTATCACATTATAACGTAAATATCACACGCATACCTTTGACGAAATGTGCCGCTGATGAAATAGAGAGCTATGGGATTTACGCAGCTGTTGCTGAAACTGAGGCAGAAACCGACTATCCTGAATACATGCCAGAAAACGTTATAATCGTCCTGCGACGAGGGCCAGAAATGAAACCACAGCATAAACACGTGGTACGGTAGAAAGCAAATCACGAAAATGATTATGAAGGACAATACCATTTTGCCCACCTGTTAATTACAGCAGTAAACGAAATAATTAATGCACACGGTGGCGCGCTTGGCGGAATGTGATTACATTCTGAATATTGATCAACGAGAATATTGATCGAGAAACACACTATTTTAAAGAGATATCAATAGATATATATATATATATATACCCTCCTGCGCGCCCTTATCTGTTCGCAGCCAGGAAGTTCACCTGGCATGTTTCTGGTAGACAATATTAAATGCCGCGCCATACCTAAATAGAAGCCGGCTATCACACACAGTGGTATCGCGTAATACGCTAAGAATTTAAACATTATTATGCCTTTCTTGTATCTGTCTCCTGCAATATGAAAGGATTGAGGTAACTGGTGTTCGCATATCCGACTAATTTTACGTCGTGAAGTTCGTATCTTCCGTACACTCAACAATCGCAATCTGATTACGTCACTGTGATATGTATTTTTGTACATGTGACGCAAAGCTCCGAATAAATACTTTAATGCCAGACACAATGGAAACACGAAAGTTACATTTTGTCATTAATAGATTGCAAGAAAGGTCGGAAGAAGTTTGTCGATAATTTGTTTTCTAGTCGGTAGGCGTAAAATGACATTATCATATAAATTGCTCGAGGACGCAATTACAAATTTCACAATTTAAATTCACACATTTCGAATTAATGCGATTGTATCCGAGCAAGGTGCTTCATTCCTTACCAAATTCTTCGGGAAAGGGGCTGCAGATTAGAATGCTGTGGTTTCCTCCCAACGGTATAGCTGGCACATGGGAGAAGAGTGCGGCGGGCAGAGCTAAGACAATAGCTAGTATCCAGATAAGGGATGCTGTTAAAACGGTTAGCGGTTTCGCGCTCAAGCCCGCTACATGGCGTCGAATCGGGTTCACGATGGCGCAGTATCTGAGGTACGTAGAAAAGCACAAGGATACATTACGTTTTAAAAACAACGCAATTCGTTTATTTCGGTGGCAGTTCGAGACAAAAGTCTGCGATTGCATATTAGGCAGCTGTACATTACCGTTTTCAGAAAAACAAATCTTGCATTTGATTAATACAATTACATGATTGCATAAAATATTGAGAGGACGCAATTGAAATTTTATTAAAACACATTTAATTTCACTGAACATTTTCCCGATAGTTATTAATATAGAACAGTCAATTGATTACATTGTAATGTTATCAATCTTCAGTAATAACGTTGTACCATTTAACGAAAAGAGCTACTAAATGCACCGTGCGTACATTCATTAATTCCAAGAGAGTGGATTATGCAAGTTTCCGGACTGCGTAACTCTGGCTTAGTCGTTTGACACGAAAGTAAACTGAAACCGCAATTACTCGTGTAGTGTCGTCTTGTGGAGTTTGTTTAATAATTTCTCGACTTAATATGCATGGCGCGATAAAGCTTTTTGAAGTATAGGTATTTACCTTTCGGCTGCCAAAGCTGCTAGAGTGAACACCGACACACCGATCGAAATGTCCTTAACGTATTCGGACAGTTTGCAGATTGACAAGCCCCATGGCCACGACTCAAGCGTGTAAAGGATAGATGTGAAAGGTACGCAGGTCACGATCAACTGTAACAACGGATTGTCGTTGTATGACAAATAACATGATACCCACGAATGATGTAGTAACAGATACGATACATAGAACGGCAATATTGTATCGGTAATCAACGTTATTCACTGCACAATATGCTCACCAATAGATCGCCCAAGGCTAAAGAAAGCACATAAATATTCGGCACGTTTCTCATATTGGCGTGGCATAATAAAATAAGAACCAAAGTGCCATTCCCCGTGACACCCACGACCAAAATTATCGAAAATACTATGGGTACAATGTAAGTCTCGGGTCGTTGGTCATACGGTATGTAAACATTGTCGATATCGTCATATTCCTCTATCATGGGGCTTCTGCTTGTATTCAGAACGTCACTCGCTATTAGCATCATCATCATCATCTGTAATGGATGAAGTATAGTCTTGTTGCAATAATATCACCGGGCAAAACGGGAGACTAATACGAGATACGAATATTTGCAAAGCAACAAGAAAACAATGTCGCATGTTTTTTGATAACAGTCCAAAAAAATATTCATATTTTTACAAATATTTTTACAAATATATAAATATAAATATTCAAATATATAAATATAAATATTCATAAAAGAAGGACTTGAAAAGAAGGTTGATTTTTTACTTCTAAAGAAAGTAATGTATGTAAAAGGATATAAAAGGAATAATGCTTTTTGTAAAAGATACATTTGTGAAAGAGCAAGATGAATCCCACGTGACAGCGAAGCAGATATTGTATGGAAGGAAATATCAATTTGATATATGATGTGATAAAATACACTGAACCGAATCGATAAATGATAAATGTGATAAATGTTGTGTAATCTCTCTTAAGCGAGTGCATGCGGCTTTACATCCGGAAAACATGGCAAAGCGAAATGTAATCGTTATCGTCGATGTAATCTATACCTCTATTATTTGTATTTGTAATGTATTTTATCACAAATAGAATCGTGTGTATTTATCTCAAATAGTATGATAAAAATGACAAGAAACGAAGCTAGAGCATTATTAGATTATGTCGTCATTTTTATACAAACCTGTAAGTAGCCGTCGATATATCTTTGTGATCCTGTTATAATAAATCTAAAATGCGCAAAAAATATGAGAAATATGTGCGATAAGAGAATTAGATCATTCTTTCCTTGTTTATTACTTCATTATAATATTATAATAATATCATCAAAAGCATAATATCATTATAATATTATAATAATATTATGCCTTATATCTCTCTCGCTTTAAGCTCTCTCGCTTTAAATGTATAATATCAAATTTATAAGTACATATATTTATAATATAAAGCTTAAATGTTCTATATTATATAAAATTTTTATATTATGCTCTGTTATCATAATATAAAATTAGTCTGTAAAAAATGCGCATGAAGATGAAACGGCAAAAGAGTTCATACATAACAACTTTCTCAAATATAAGCACCGTAATAGAAAATTAACAAGAGCAGAAATTTGATCTGCTTGTAATCTTAATAAAAGAAAGATCAGATTGTAACAATAACTAGGATATTTTTTTGTTTTATCGTATTGTATCGCGTTTCTATATATTACGCACAATACTGTACCTACATATATATATAGCCTTACGTACAACACACACACACACACACACACACACACACACACACACACACACACACACACACACACACACACACACACACACACACACACACACACACACACACACACACACACACACACACACACACACACACACACACACACACACACACACACACACACACACACACACACACACACACACACACACACACACACACACACACACACACACACACACACACACACACACACACACACACACACACACACACACACACACACACACACACACACACACACACACACACACACACACACACACACACACACACACACACACACACACACACACACACACACACACACACACACACACACACACACACACACACACACACACACACACACACACACACACACACACACACACACACACACACACACACACACACACACACACACACACACACACACACACACACACACACACACACACACACACACACACACACACACACACACACACACACACACACACACACACACACACACACACACACACACACACACACACACACACACACACACACACACACACACACACACACACACACACATACACACACACACACGGTTTACTATTGAAAGGCTTTAATTTTGCTTATTCAGTTTGAAAATACATATCGCGAAACGGATGGAGAAAGAGGGAGATCCACTACTTTGGAAATATTCAATACAGTTCCTGTCATGTTAGATAGGTTGCGAATTCAATAAACGTCGACGGTTTATTTATAGCGCGCGAGATATGTATTTTTTCTTTCAGCTATAAATATTTTAATAAATGCAAGTATATAGATTTACTGTAAGCGACAAAAAAATGAATTTTTATATTCATTCGCATTCATAAATTGGATTTACTGCCATTCTTAAATATATTGTTTATAACTGAAAAGCCGTCGATATATAGATTATAAGGGCGTGATTATAACATCCGGAAGGAAATGTAATACACATACACAAATGTGGAAATATGGAGTATATATTGCACATGCAATTATAACAGTAATTAAATTAAATTATTTAAAAAATATTAAATTGAATTAAATTATTTAAGAACTATACAAGACGTCGTTTCCGTAATTTATACAATTATACTTAAGTATAATAATATAATAAAGTATAATATATGTGCCCAAGTCGAAATTTTGGCTCTATGTTAAACTTTGAATTCTGCAACAAAGTAAGAGCTAAATTAGCAAAGTAGATTTAATTCTAATGATACAATTTACTTTTACTTTGACTCTGATAATGTCTGAAATTTTTCTTTTCACTTTCTTTAGCGTCAAAATAAGTTGTGTTATAGGCTTCAAAATATCAAAATAGGAATTAAATGGAATAGTGAGACTGAAAGAGTAGGATCAAAATTTACTCGGTACTCGGGTAGATTACATAGAGTCAAAAGAGATTGATGTAGGTTTCAGAGTATCAAAATGGGTTTTGAATGAAATGGTAAGGTTGAAAGAGCAGGATCAAAATTTCACAATTCGGCTGCTGTGAAGAGAAAAAAATATATACTTCTCTCTAACTGTAAACAATAAAACCGTTTAGATTCCTGCCCAAAAGTGTGCAAGATACCGTTGCAAAAAGCGTTTTTATAATTATCACCGCGGTTATGTATTATTTTGCACATTTGAAATTGATTTATCCCCAGAAATGTATCGGGTATCATTATTATATCGTAAAGAATATAATTGTAGGAAAATTCGTACGAAAAACAATCAACTGTAATAGAAACTTCTTTTTAATAACGCTATCATACGCATCTATTTTTCGATCAATTTAAAGTCAACACAAGTTAAAATTAAATTCGCTTTCGTCTTGACATGCTTTCTCATCATCTTATAAGGTACAAATTATCATCCGTTATGAGTTTACTGTCGAATAATGGGATCCTTAAAAGACCTCAGGTTGTTTATACTTGGGTGTCAATACATAATACAATATTCGATATTACTCCGTCATCGAATTTTAAAGTTCTAAAGTTTTAAAATGCAGAAGGCAATTTAAATGGAAAATTTTAATCGAACAAACACACACCCAAATATCTAATACGGTGAACTCGTATATCACTCCAACATTTTAATTTTGATACATACGTGCGTTTCTAGATGAATACAAACAGCGCAATATCACTGACCCACAATCATTAATAAAAATACATTTATCTTATAACGTACACAAATTCTCTCTCTCTTTCTCTCTCTCTCTCTCTCTCTCTCTCTCTCTCTCTCTCTCTTTCTTTCTCTCTTTCTCTCCCTCTCCCTCCCTCTCTCTGACCTAGTATTACTACCTCATAAATACTTTAATCGCTCCGAGTGTATATTAATCAATTGTTATTGAAATCGTTTATCTCAGGATGTAAAAAACGTAATTATTCTTGTAAAATAAATTAAAATATATCGACTAAAATTACTAATGATGTAGTAGTAGTCACGCGATACGCTCACGGTCGGATGGAGCGTAACAAAAGACAACTTCATTTTTTACGTGCGAATGACTTTTTGTCCAAATAAATTCAACAAAACGCTCGAAATCCGCGGAGCTAAAAATATCATGGGTCTGTAATAATGTCTTTATCGATAACCAAGGTTATTGAACTGTTGTTCGACAATTATTCAATAACAGCCTCAACTATTGCGTCGTCTCGAGTCAAGTTGTTTATTGTTTCTTACGTAACATCGAAATGAAACAGCTGAATGATACATAGCTAATGGAGCGAGAATACAAAAAAGAAATAAATTTTCGTTTTCAGACGTTGTTTAAGTACTTTTGTTGAGTAAATTGAAGAACAACGATATAATGCCCGCTCGTGCGATGTGAAATATAAATCGCGTGACATAACATATTAATTGATATCGCCGACGTTCCTATGTTTCGCGCAGGAAGTTATGGGTATCCGTGCTCGGAAAATTCCTTTCTCAAGAAAATAAACGACCGCACTTTGCGAGAGCAAGCTAAATTAAGTTTAAAATACATCTCTTTCGAAAACTTCTTTGCGATGATGACGTGGCAAATTGTTTTTCCCATAGGCAAATTTTCTATCGCCGAGGAATCATTTTCCACCGTGCATCCCTGGCTCCAATCCGGTGATGCACCCTTTTCGTCCTTAAAGCCGACCAACTATTACAGATCATAGGGTTCCGCGCAGGGTTTACCACAAAAACTTGATATTCTATGATCATTCGTAAAGGTTATTAAAAAAATATTCAAATTTTTGTCATTTATATGCAAAATCTGCGGTTCCGGGAACGCGAACAAATTGTGAAAACATTAATTCGCTTTAATCGACTAATGCACAAAATAATGTCTGCGTTCATTAATCCTAACAGTAAATAGTTTAATGATATGCAGTCCTGAATACATTAAACCATGTGCATGTTGGAGTGCCCTATTTAGTAAATATAAACACGTAATTAAAATGTTTATATACATTCCTTATGCTAAACATTCGTAAATTAATAAAATGACGTCACATTTGATTATATAATTTATAATGATTATGATTGATTGTGCTTATGATTATATCTTTTGTGACACAACGCACGTATGAAGTCAATCTGCCACGTATCAACTAAGTCATACAGATTAACAATGACCGAGAAACATAAAGTTTATATGCAATGACGGAATTGAAGACAAGTCGATAAGATCGCCAAGGTGTACATTAGTCATAGACCAGTAGATTGCCTTCTTAGAGACAACTTTTGCATTGATATACCGCTTAATCAATATGGTTTAAGTTC